TAAAGAAATAACTAATAAATATAGTGCAATAAAATCCTACTTTTTATGCTTTCTGAAATTATTTCTAGGCATTTTAGTCTTGGCTATCCTGTCATTTCTCCTGAGCTGCAATGTAGCTCAGTGGTAGATTGCATGCCTGGGCCCTCAGTTTGATCTCTAGCCCTGCAAAACAAGCACAGGTGCTATCATGGGTCCAGCTGACAGGAGAGGCCTTCCACCTTCCCTTTTCGCACTTCGTTTGCTTGTACCCTAGTTTTCCTACATGGGCGTAATGCTGACAATTGTAAAAGCTTTTAGTGAATAAATTGCCTAGATTTTTTTTTTTTTTTTCCGGAACCAGGGGTTGAACTCAGGCTCTTGAGCTTGCCAGGCAAGTGCTTATTCTACTGAGCCGTCTCCCTGGCCCAAAGGGCAGAAGGATTTTTTTTTTTTTTTGGCGCCGAGTGACCTCACGGCAGGTTTGGCTGGCTTGAGTTGTGGAGATCGAACCACAGCAACCTGAGCCTGACTACTTTGTTGAAGCAGCCACGTAAAGAACTGAACTAAGGGGCAGGCCCCCCTAGATTTGTTCTTAATTTGGACATATATGTATGTAATCCTGCAAATTAATTTTTTTGTCTCTTCCTTTAGTGGACAAAATAAAAATAACAGGAAAGACAACTCACAAGATTGGGAAGTTCTGTATATACATGTTCCACTAATACTGTGGAAATGTTGGTAATTGTTAAACGGATATTAAACACCATGCTAGCTGAACCTTCTATATACTGAAGTTATAATTGTTTAATAAAGAATATATTTTAAAAAGTATCCTATAGCTTTATGATAGGATAGATTTAATGATCTACATCTCTGTGTGGTACCAATTATCCATAATGAGATCTTTAACAAATGAATAAACTCAGTTTAGCTACTTTTTTTTCTTTCATCCTCCCTCCCTCCCTCCCTCCCTCCCTTCTTGGCAGAACCACAGATTGAACTCAGGCCCTAGCGCTTGCCTGGGGAGCATTTATTCTACTGAGCCATCTCCCTGGCCCTTAGCTACTTTTCTTAAAACTCCCTTTTTAGTCCATCTTTATTTTTTCCCCATCAAAGTTAAAAACAGCCCGACAGATTCAGGTGAGGAA